GTTTATTATTTTTTGTCTGATTAAGTTATTTAATTGGTTTAAACGTGGATCGTAGAATTGAAAAAAAAAACAGTTTTTATTATTTCCTGTTGTGACAACCCTAGCAATTTAATGTTTATGACGGCATTTCCGACAATTTAAAACGCGATGAAATGACTATTGACTTGGAATAGGTATTATATCTCTATGGAAATGTCCCACTGTATGTTCACAGGCTGTGGCGTACTTTGTATACCTACTGGTTCATTGCAAGAATGCCGTTACCATAGATAAATAAATATGTAGCAAGCTAGCCGTTACCTCCCGTCGCGCTCCCTCACTCCGCGCCTCAAGTGTCGCCCTAATAGTACCGATAGCAGCGCCTTCGTAATGTTTTACGTATTTGAAATATTTTAAATGTAAAATTAAACTATAAAATTTTTAATTACAATATTTTATAATTATATCGGACACGTTCCTTTTCACTTTTATTATTTGACTTTACTAAATAAATTATTTTATAATATGCACTTTATCTACTTGTTTGCTCTCAATTACTGTGTACAAGACTACTTATACAAAGTACTTAGTTTTGCTCTATTTGACAAAAAAAATAGTCATCATGTTTATGTAATATAATGGATAAGAAAGATAACTTTTTTGTCTATGGTACCGTCGGCTGTGTTATCATAACGGTCGACAACGGCAAACTCGAAATGAACGCGTAGGTAGTATATACAGGTCAGTAAGGCTGACGATAAAGTAATAGTGCATATTCTTCCACCGCTACCACACGCTAGACAGTTTTTTGCGATTCATATAAATTATTTAAGTGTAGTGTGTTTTTTTAGGTTTGCAAATTTGGAAATTTGATAAAATTGCATTTAATTGAGTAAATTTCAATATAAAATAACTTTTTGTAGTATACATGATTTAAATGATTTTGTGTTTATTACAAACGACAGAACTTGTAGTGTGTGTGTGTGCATGTGTGCGCGTGCGTGGGTGGGTGTGTGTGTGTGCGCATGCGTGCGTGTGGGTGAGTAAGGAAGGGCATTTTATAATGACACAAGGAACAATTTTTTTATTCATTTATTAATAAACTAACTTTACAAATTTAATAATAGCAGAACAATAATAATCCTTATTTCTTTTCATTCATAATAATATGATAATAATTCACCATGACTCATCGTACTTTATGAATATAATTATATGATTTTAAAAATAATGTAGAACGACAGAGAAAGCAACTTACAGAAAAATAATGCACAATAAAGGGTAAACGAACTTCACATTTGCCAGCAACAAAATTTTCACATTAGTTCGCATCATTTCCTAACTCCCGTCGGGCGCAAACGCCCTTCCCAACTAATAACTCTACTAGAAAAAATATTACAATAACGTAAAGTTAATTTTTATTGTATCAATTCTTTCATTTACTATTTCTCCATCTATGTACAAGTCATATCATGTTTACATACCAAAACTATATACTATCTGTGTGGTGTAACCCCTATACTATATTTATAGTGTTTATATCTATTTGTATTTTCTCTTTCTTCAAAATTACATATAAATGTATAATATAGATATTTCATCAGCATAAATTACTATTCATTAGTTGGGAAAAAAACAAAAACAATAAACTAAAAAAGATTACTATACACCCAATATACAGAACTAGGTTTGAGAGTCCATTCACTATTATTATATGGTACACGCGATTCATACTCTTTATATTATAGTACAAGGCTTCATATTCCTACTTACAGGAGTCGGTCCGCAACAACGGCCGCTAGCTTGGCGCTCTATAGGTATGTACAACGCTAAAAACCGACAGACTCCCGAATTAAAAGTCATCGAAATGAAAAATACTTAACACATAACATATATTAAATTTCCCCATCTATACATAAAAATTTACAAGAGATTGTACATCGGCCGCACCGATCATTCTCTTAAACTAATAATTTAAAACGAAAATAAAAACAAAGTTCTCTTTTACGCAAATTGCATGCGCTCTGCTTACCGTCCCCGAGGGCCGGCCGCCGCTCCGCTCTAATACTAATATATTATTAACAATAAACGCAGTAAAACCCACAGCTTCAACCACGGCACACGTTAATAGGGCACTATTTCAGGCAATGTAGTTTTACAATTATAAAATATTCTCAACACACTATACATACTACGTACGTAACTAAACACATTTGTATTGTATCACTGCCGACCTAACAGACAAACCCTTTGAACGACGAAAGTGTGAGGTTATCGAAGGGGTAGGTGAGTAGGTAACAATGGAAAACAGGACATTGAAGACTGAAAACTGGGTGCAGGTTAAGATCTATCTCAAGCGGTCGTAAGGCGGTCAATTCTATCCAATCATTTTTCTATAAAAGTAATCAAAGAGTCACATCCACAAATTATTGCTTTGAATATCCTTCTCAGGCGTAGGAACCGCAAAATAAACATATGCAAAAATATTAATTTTTATACTGCTCACCGCTTTCACACGCGCTACACTATGAACACGTTAAATTTTATAAACGAAACAAACATTGCAAGGTTCAATTTTGAAATACCCAATTTGATTATCGCTATATGGTACGTACAGACGTGCTCAAAAAAAAGGCATGCTCATAAGCTTGCTTAAATTGAGCATGCTCAGAAACTGTTCACATTCGCCAGCAATAAGCACGGTTAAAGCATTTAGCATCAGGCTCTCGGCCGAAATGGATGTACAAAGATATAGTGACAGTGCTATCCGTACAGCACTTAATAAAATAATCATATTGCTTGCAACCTAATGGTGTAAGAAAAAGCAAAGTGGAAAAAAAACTCCTACGCGACGTATAGTGTTTTTTTTTAACTTAAATTGACGCAGCAACTGTTGCGATTCGAGATCGATTCGATAAAACATGACCAAAATCAATTCTGTTCAGTTCAGACGCGTTCGGAGCCCGCCCTCCTTACCTGCGCCTCAGGTAGCATGCTCGAAAATCAAACGTCGGTTGGTTTCTGACCATGCTCAAAATAAGCATGCTCATTACTAGCAATAAGCGTGTACACACGTGCTACTAATGGGCACTTGCTCAATAAAAGCATTCTTTCGTGCTAGTAATGAGCATGTCTGTCCGTACCTTTACACGAAACAATAAGTTTCTTTAAAGTGATGAGCATGACATCCACATGATTCGATAAGAATCGAAAAATATATTTAATCTATGCATTACTATTAAGTGACTGTATATTTATTAAAATATTGTGATAATAAATACTAGCAACTACTAAGGATATAGAATTTCTTTGAAAATCCAATCAATTATGTACAGTGCAAAATGAAAGTCTAGCTTACTCTACCTTAAGTATCACTGGTTTAAAAGAAATAAATGGATAAAAAATTACGTTTAAAAAAATAAATTTCAAAGATGGGGTTTCAAAAAAAACGAGGAAATAACAATTACAATCGGGGCATCAAACCAAATAGTTTAGTATACTGGAAGCCCAAACAGACAAACTGTTGAAACACTCAGTCACAATTATTTATTATCATTTCACTAAGAAATTATTCAAGTTTCGTGTCACATTAAAATTACAATTATTGGTCGTGAATTTCTTAAATATAAAACGCTAATTTTACATCGTAATAGCGGCGAATGCATTACGCGGGAAACCGCCATCTCGATTTAAGCGCTGTCATTTTAAATTTAGTGTCAATAAATATAAGAACATTAACATATTCAAAATGGCGGATTCCCGTAAATACGAATAAAAACTACACGCGGTTCACATCACCGATCACGACATTACAAGTTACGTGCAAAAACGTATGAAAATATCTTTTAAAACTTTATGCATTTATATCTCTCGGGTATTTATTCTATTATAACAATGTGCCTACAAGTCGAGTGCTCTTTTGTACAACAATGAAACATTTCTAGTCACTATACTAAGGCTCCCACTTTGGCTTAAGCTCTTCAGGCGAGGTTAGCCATATGGTGGTAAAAATACGTCAATGCTCTTAAAAATACTCAATAGAGAAAATTAACTTATAATTAAATGAAAACGTCAAGTGCTTTATAGTGAATGGTAACATTTGTTCACTAGTTAAAAATAACAAGATCAAGTTCTGGTGACATCCGGAATGGGGCAATTACAGTTTTTGAACACTTTATTAGATTAATATTGTTATAGAGCCAACGTGTTGGTAACATTACAACTAACACACAACACACATTTGCCGATTATAATTTCACTGTCACAATTCTCTTGCTTTTATTGTACTAACTTGTGAACACAGTACAAAATTGCTGAGATTCTCCAAATAAAAAGACCAAAATTCTGCAAGAGAGACACACAGACTGTGTGCAATTTTATAATTATTGTATTTATAAATTATAACCGCCGAAAACTTTAAACACAAATGTTTTTATTTAATTCGAAAACCTTCTTTGAGGGTGAAGTATGGCCATCGAAGCAGATAAAGAATGTAAGCGTGTTAACTATCACTTAGTTGCAATGCTGATTTTATTAGTACCTATACTTTTCTCTCGCATGCAACAACAATATCGAAAACGGCTGTCGTTAAATGATCAATAGTAGTATTTATTTTAAGAAATTTGAGTTTGTTCATTAAAGTATTGCTTTAGTTTGTTCCTCATAACTCATTATAGTAATTTATTTATTGTTAATTTCTGAACTGTGAATAATACAGGAAATGAAACTATAGATAGAATTTTTTCAATTATTAATAACTAAGACACGCGAAAAATGTGAACCTCTGAAAGGTTGTTTGCATTCTATCGGTGGCCTAGCTTCAGATTATCTGGCCACTGTCAACAGTGATAGAGACAGTTGTGTATGTAGCGGGGAGGTAGCGGTGCGTGGTGTCAGTCGAGCGGCAGCGGGTAGAGGAGCGGCAGCGGCAGCGGGAGCGGCAGCGGGAGTGGCAGCGGCAGCTGCAGCGGCAGCGGGGCGGCGGGTGGCAGCGCGGGGCGGGGCTCCGCGCGCCGCCGCCGTCACTTGCCGTCGCGGGACGCGCGTCTTCGCCTCACCGCGCCCGCACTCGCTCCGGGGCTTTCGCCCACTAGAACATGCATTTATTATAGTTACTTCATGTGTAACCGTTTCTTTTATCTTTGTATACATAATTCTTCTGTCAGTGTGTATGTGACTGGATTCCTTCCTAAGCAGCTGGACCGATTTTGATGAATTTTTTGTGTCTAATTGGTTTAATGTATGGTTTGTTGTCATATTGCGCTGTTGTGAAAATCCAAAAATCACTCATGCAAAGCTAAGATAAATCAATGATATTTATATAAAATTAAAACGACATACGAACTAACAGTCTGCCTGATGTAATAAAAATAAAAATAGCTACTATAGCCCATGGACACCTGTAGCCAACTAATGATGGAATAACTTATAGCCAGTAACTTAAAGCAGCATAGCAGAAATAGGTAAGATGGTTACGCTTAGCCAGACGGGCTTTTAGGCAGATGAGGCAACCTATGGTAGGTTGTCTAAGTACACCTGTTCCACCTTATGATTCTCCTTGTACTTTGCCAGCGATTTTAGGTACTTTAGGACTACTGCTTATATCCCCGTTGAATGTGCCAGTTTGCAATAATTTTTATTGGAAGATGTACCCCACGTGTTTGCCAAAGCACTTACATTAAATGAGCGAAGAACTGAATTTGCAGTAGTATTGTGTCCTATAACTTTTTTATCATCTGTTTTTCATTAATGATAGGGTGGGGTGTAGGTAAGGTTGGCATTTTCTGTTTAACAACCAAAAATATGTCATCACCTAATTATTTTTTACCACAAATTTATTTATTTTTAGCCGACAAAGCTTGTCAATTTGACAGTATGTTTTATTTATGTATGTTTTGCAATATCTTCGTCTATTTTGAACCACCTAAGATGATTCTTTACGAAAAGGGTGATTCTTTATGACTTCAAGGGAAAAATTTCTTTATGACTTCAAGGATGCTACCATATAAATACAATAAAGAAAAAATACAACCCAAGGGTACGTAAGTAGCAAAATCGCCAGTCACCGGTCTAGATATTTTATGTATGGTGCAAGCGAAATAGTTATATCGCCATCTATAGGAATACAAGATTTTTCAGGTGTTTCATAGTCGCCTTTTATAACAGCCACAAGACAAAATGAAGTGATGGTTTGCCTTGCACTGCCACTTCATGGCACTAAAGCTTGTCTTGGAAAAATTCTATCATCTTATAATGCATCATCACAATGGACTGTAATCTCCTGATTTTTATATTTATTTAATATTACATTAGATACCTAAATAGTTATTTAGAGCACTTTATCCTAGCCTACCTCCAATCTTATCATATAAGCATTACATCAGGAATGGAATGGCTGGGATAAGTGCTGAGAAATGAGAGTGCCTTCATCAGCTTATACATTGGAGGCAGTATATGTTGAAAGCTATCAACTGCATAAAAGATAATATCAGAAAGATAGTCTTACTTATAAATTTTTAATTTTATGTTTGAACTAGTGATCTGACCAGGCTTTGCAAGGTTGATCTCTAGAACTCGACAACAGCGCCACCTACCGGGTCCAATTATGAATCTAAACCATCCAGGGACCCACTCAAAAGCACACAAACAATTTCATCAATATTATTATAGTCGTTTACGAGTTTTAGCGAGACTAACGGACAGTAATTTATTTTTATATATAGAGATTAGATTTAAAGAAAAGTTACAGCCTATATGCGTCCCAGGGTTGGATACAGAACTTCACTTATTGCAGAGAGGGTTATAGAGCTATTTGTCCGTCGCGCTACTCCATAGTGTTGGGGGGTTTCACATGACCCTGAAATAACTGATATCACAGATATGCAGGTTTCCTCAATATGTTTTTCTTCACTGCCAAATGTGTGGTACATCAGCACTTAACATTACAATTAACATTCAATGAAATTGTAGCCGGGATCACACCCTGGTTGCTCACATACATACAGTGATGTTTATGGCACTTAGCATCTAAAATACCACAGCATATATTTCATTATTTATGATGATGACAAAATGTCTCCAATCATACAACATAACATTAGAAAAGCTGGAATGAGTGATATGATACATTATATTCTCTTTACTTTATTTTTATATAATATTACCCTTACACTACATAATTCTCCCCATACCATGGAAGCATTTTACGAACATAATATTGCTCATGGACAAACATCCAGATCTGAAACGAATATTTGAAGACCATTCAAATATTTGTTCCCTTATATCATTCAAATATTAGTTCCATATGGGAAAAGAACCTGCAACCAAATCCTTAGGCACTGTGTCACCATTTTATCATATCTGTTATCTCTGTCAAATATATAGCATTTGAATTTTGTTGTGATCATGATTAAATGGGGTAGTAATTAAAAATATCACAAATCCTTTGAAACTTACCTGCACTTCGCGTTTTCCGTCGGACGGCGGTGTTGCTTGGTGGCGCCGCAGGCGCTGCAGGCGTATTAGGCGTCGTGGGCGTCGGAGGCGTAGGGCCGTGACGCACGGAACGCCTCGTACCCACACCCTCAGCACCCTTAACTGCCTTTACACCAACTGGTTTCAACCCCTTCCCCGTCTTACCCCTCACTTTACATATCAAAGGCTCATCACTGTCACTGTCAGACTCCTTTTTCACTTTTCCACTTGCAACAACTACAGCATTGACTGGTTTCTGATCGACCCTTCTCGGTTTTTTCTTAGGGCGCCCTGCTGGAGATAGCCCCTCTTCGCAACTGATAGTGGACGCACAAGAGCTTTCAGACTCCCTACGCTTTCTTTTTGCTCCTGGACCAGGTTTAGCTGGGGCGGGGACGGAATTAACGGTTCGCGGGCTTATTTTATCTACAGACCCACTACGAAGACAATTCCTGGGCTGTAATGCTGGGGAATCTGATCTTTCTAGTTTGTTCACCCCAGGACTAAGCCTTGGTGTTTTCGGTCCATCAGCTGGGCTGTTCATTTTGCTACTCGATCTTGTTCGAACCGTACTCCGCGCTACGCGTTCTAATGTTGATGGAGATGGTGACTCTGGTCTTTTTCCTGTGTAGTCAGGTGTGGGAATTTCAATAAGTAGTTGCTCAAGCAAACTTTTATCAGGAAAATCCGCTTTGAGCGGTAGCCGTTCTAGTTTCGGTTCTTTATCTTTAGACGATTCTGTACAAGTTTCGCCATTTTCTGATACGATTTTCTCCTCTTTACATTCAGGTGAACAGGTCTTCTCTTGGTTAGAATAAGTGTAAAGCGGTGGAGACATTCTGCTAGGTAGGTGATCAAAATCATCAACTCCCTTTTCTTTTTTAGGTGACATACATTCCTCTTTACTACATGTTTCATTCTTTTGAGCAATACCGCATTCATGTTTCACTTCATTCAATTCTATTTTCTCTTCTTTGCTTTCACTTCTGTTATTACTTTGACTCTGTTTTTCATTATCCCTGAGAATTGGTGTGGGCTCTCTTTTCACTTCTTTGGTCTGTGTCTGTTCATCATGCGGTCTTCTCACAGTGTCATCGCCATTTATATGATCTGCATGCATCTTTGCCAATTCTGCTTCAATATCGCCTAAATCATCAATATCGGGGGGTCCAGGGTCGTAATGCGGTTGCCCCGTCGCTAATGAGAGTCTTTCTAGTAGTTCGTCAGAGGCAGGGGGTGGGTCTATAACGCCTATTATCCTTTGTACTGACGTCGGACTGGTGGAGCGGGGCATATCCAACCGTTCTTTCCTCTGCGGTCCAGGTGGGGATTGGCTAGCCTGATTGGGCGACTTCTCCGACAACGCATCCATGGATTCGATTCCAGAGTCCTCCCCTTGTGCTTGGGAGTTGGGTGACCGGTTGCTAAATTTGTCGGCGTCAGGGCGTGCGGTCCTTTCGGCGACGAGTTTGCAGTAGGATTTGTCCTTCGGCCTCTCTTTACGCCGCGGCGAAACCGCCCCAGGGCGCTGACTAGACGCGGGTGGGGGCGAGTCCACCCGACTGCCCTTGATTGTGCCTACGTTTGTTGATCCAGGGGGATCTGGAATACCAGTAAGCAAACTATATATCAAAATCTAATTTACTCCCTCAGCCCTAAATAGGACATGTATTTTAGAACAATTTTGCGCGCCTTCATTTTCATTTATTTTTTTCCGTATTCTCCCAATGTGGTAAATACAAGATGTATTGTTTTAAAAAACTACATGATAATAAGACTTCCATTCAAACCCATCCAATTATTATGCGATGCTGTAACAAACAGACAATTTGCCAAACTAACAAGCTGAATTTGTTTTATTCATTTTTATAAAGAATATCCATTCCACAATATTAATTATTTGATATATTTAGTATTCTAGTTACAGCTTTTAATTTCAATGTGATTGGCAAAAAATACAATCACTCTTAGTGTTCTAAATGTTTTATTTCAATATATATTTAAAATGCTTCTTAAAATATTTACAATTAACATATTTAAATAACAATAAATAAGAATTTCTGTAGTACATTACATGTTCAATATTATTTACAGTAGTTACATTGAATATTTACAGATAGGTATAAAAATATTTCCACAGATTAGAAAATGATAGTTCAATTAAATATATATAATATTATTCTCTGTCTGTTTGCTAGAAGAACTGTAGGCAGGGCTATAAATATATTTTAATAATTTAGACACATACTTAAGCAACCTTTAAAATATACAAACATTCATGTTCACATCAAAGTAATAAGACAGATGGATCAATCAGAATTAATAATTAAAACCAGCTAAAGGTGTGTACATATAGGTACAACCTTTGTTATAATTGTTGATTATTGCTTACATATTTAAATTAAGTATTAATTATCTTTATAGTTTCTTTATATTGTAAGCATTTCTTAAAATAACATTGACTTTTATGAGTAAGGCTTAAATACAAAAGTAATACACATGGCAATCACAAATTTGTGTCCTAAGAGAAGCAAAAAATGTAACTATGATGTAGTGTTGCAAAAGAACTTATTCTAGGCTTCATTGAATAGTTCTACTCTATGGTCTATGGTCTATCTGTCTTAATATTTTGGTCTGAGTGTTTATATCTTTTTATTTATATCTATTTTTGTAAATAATAGTCATAATGGTTGCTTAAATATTGTGTTTATTCCATGTTATCAACATTTGCCTGATTCATTGTATGGCATATTAACTTAGTTTAAGATATCCACAAAACAGTGCCAATTCCACATGGAAATATTAGTGGCAGAGAAATGATTTATAGAAAGCAATGGGTCAGGGAAGAGTGACACTTACTTATGAAAATCTTTCTGTGAAATTAATAATAATAAAATATATTGAGAAATAAAAAACAAATCTTTTAAGGACTAAGAAATTGAAGACTGAAAACTAGTGCATCTGATAATCATTACTTTTGGAATGTATAGCAGGTGCAATCTTTACTGTGTGGCAGGGGAGACAAAAATAGTGGTGTTAAAATGTTTCAAAAATAAGGAAGAATGAAGATGCTATCTTTTGTAATAAAGAATTAAGATGCTATGTTTTTTCAATTTAACTAAAGTAAGCAATGGCCACCCTCTATCCATAGTGTTGGCAAACTCGTTTTTGTATAAATAGTAAGAAATCTAAAGAAGGCAGTTGATAGATATTTCAAACAAGAATGAAGATGGTCTTTTAACACATTGAAAATAATATATTTAAAGTAGGGATGTAACAATTCCGATTCCGATATATCAGCCGATATAATCGGCAGACCGATATATCGGTATCGCCAATTATATACAACCGATATCAAGAGTTTGAAAACCGCGCGTAACGAACAATGTGCATGCGACATTCTTGCACAGCGCAGTTACCTCAGAGTGTCTGTTTTCAACTGCAGATCTCTATCAAAATGATTTGCGTAACAGATTATCTGCTAATAATTTAAGCAAACTTTGCGTTCTTCACAAAAATCTACCAAAAGCTAGCTGTAATTACTGACTTTATCTTATATATCGGTTTACTTTCCAATTTGTGTAATGAAAATTACTTACTTGATTAGCGCTTTAATTGCTTGAGAATATTTTTGATATTTCATATAAATAAATGTTTTCTTTGAAATTTGAATTTTTGTATTGAAATAATGTTTTGACATTTTTTTGAAACTTCTCAAAGTACAGTCTCTGATAAATATAGGTAACTTTTATGCATAATAAAGAAAATTATTCATTATTTTTTTTACTATTTCTATTCGGCCACCGATAAATGTATCAGTATCGGTATCGCTGATTATTTACTACAATTATCGGTATCAGCATCATATCAGCACAATTATGTATTGTTACATCCCTAATTCTCATCTTTTTTAACCATTCTCAGCTTTTTTTGCTAACCCTACTTTGACCTAGGACAGCAACAGAAATAGTAAAAGGGACTTGACATGACAGTAAAGAAGCCCTAACCCACCTGCAACTACAAAATCAACCGAGTCTTCTATAACATACTGAATACTGAAAAATCGTGATTTAAACAATAGTTTTGATGTAACTCTGTTTTGTGCATGTATCTTGTTACAACATAACATAAAAATAGGTTAAAGTTGCATACATATGTTGGTGTACGTACCTGGACAGGAACTATGGCTAGTCTTTCGTTTCTTTTCAGAGGAGATCAGTCCATTGGGTGAGGTAATAGCACTGTCAGTGAGTGTCCGTTTTAGTTTGTTGTCTTCACTAGCCCTGTGTGTGTCGAACTTCTTTGTGTCCGCCACATCATCCGCACTAAGCGTCCTTTCTAAACCCTTTTGACACTTAACCCTGTCCAGCTCACTAGCACCACATTTAACACTTTCATTATACACTGTGTCTAACTGTACAGTCTTTACTTCACTGGACTTTAAATTATCACATTTTGCACCACTTTCTTTCTCTAGTTTTGGAGTTGGTAACTTCTTTTTTACTTCATGGTTGTTTGGAGTCTCTCTGTAACCCTCATTCTGAGCATATTTGCCTTCTTTTTCCAATAAATCATTTCTACAATCTTTATCTCTTTCCTTCTCTATGACTTTTCCACCCTCACTTACAAATTTTGATTTCTTTTTCATTTTTAAACTGTCTAATTGCAATTTATTGTTTAGTAGCTTGCAGTCAGTCAGTGCAGATTTAGTGACAATGTGAGCATTTTTCGATATTGTCTTCATTCTGTAAACAACATTATTGTCTCCAGTGATCTCAGTTTTGATTGTCTCTCCCTCTGCATAATGATTGTTTAGCTTCATATTTTTTACGTGTAAATACTCATCAGTCTTTGTGTTCTCAGTGCTGTCTCCAGATTTGGTCGCCAGAGACTCCTCTGAATCCCGTCTATGAGACTTGTCATCAGATTCTATAGATTTTCTTATTTTTATCTTCTTCATGTGCAAATCTCCTGGACTAAACTTCTTTTTTTCCTTCTTAGAGTTCTTTATGACCGCTGAGTTACGACCTCTAAGACTGATATGTAAAGGTGGAACTCTTAGTTCACCTCCTTCTGTTGGTTTAGATAATCCCTCTTTTTGCGATTGTAAATTTACAAAACTGATATCAGCCTTGTACACAGGCTGTACCACTGGCTCGTTTTTATCTAACTTTAACCTCAATTTTAAAGAAAAAGAATCCACCTTCTCGCCTGTGGGTGATTTTGGTGCTTCACTCACAGGCGTGGCGGGTTTCGCGACTTGTGGTCGCGGTAAGGCAACTTTGGTAGACTTTACATCGCGCACTATCTTGTCTTTTAATGTAGCGGGTTTCTCTTTCGCCCCCCCTGTTCTAGGCTTCCCTCCTTTCTGCGCCAGCAGTTTATCATCCCTGTCCTTCTTTAAAATCTTATTCTTTAACTTTGTATCATCTTCCATTTTACTATCATCCTCGTTTATCTTCGCTATCCCAAAAACCTCTGGTGTCTCTGTTGAATTCTCTTTCAATTTACATTGAGCAACTGTTACTTCCTCGACTTTCTTTTCCTGTTCTTTAGGAGGTGGGATATCATCATCCCTCATAAGTGTTTTTATCAGGTACTGCTTGCTTTGTTCTTCAATTTCTTGAGCAGTAGCCTGAGAGCCTACAGTTGCTGTAGCTACAGAAGTAGTTGCTCTAACAGGCAATCTCATTGGAGGAGGCATTGAGGATTGGCTAATATTTACTCTATCGGAATTCATACTATTTGGTGACATAGAATATGTGGCATTTGGAGGAGATTTAAATGGCGGATTTTGGGTATTAACCATTGCAGAATTTGGGGAGGTATTTTGATGTGGATTTACGAACTTAGATGTTGACTGCTGTGGAACAGGCGGGGGTGGCATGAAACTCGATTCATTATTCTCAAAAATATCCGAAGATTTTGAAGGCACATCACTCACTGAATGACTTGTACTTGGAATTACCTCAGTGTTATATGGTCCATTCAGATTCGTACTAGAGAACTGGCCACCGGTAATTTCTTGCAGCAGAGCGTCAGGATTTGAATCGCTAGCATTGGGCAACCCATCTTGTTGTTGGGGATCATAAAGAAGGTCAAGCTTGGTGTTGGCATCAAGTTCTGAGATGGCCGAAAGAGCAGAGTCATCAAGGTTTAGGTCAGCTCCCAAGGATGGTAACAACTGATCCAAATCACAATTGTCAGGTAGATCTGGAATGGAGAGCCCTAATGTGTCCCGATAAGGCTCATTCCAATCCGGTTGTGAAGCTGCCCGCGATGCCGCCCGCTGTCTCGCATTATACTGCTGCTGATACCTCTGAAATTCCTGTAGCAGAAACCACATTATGTAGAATACGTATTTCTTAAATTGCCTTAATATAAGATAGATAGGAATTTCTTTTTATAATTCTAATACAAATCTAAAAATTGATTAAGTGGTATACAGGATGTTAGTGTAAACACCGTTGTCCTTAAAACCAGTGGTTTGGTTTCACTTATAGAACGTAAATTCAATGAAAAGTAACAACATTTTTTTAGTAAAATCTCAATTTTTCCATAATTCCTCAATTTTTGCCTGTCCTGGCCAAGCCAGGTTGAAAGTATGAAGGAAAAGTTACATCACAGGTTATGTGTACCTATTGTGTTTTTATTGGAATGTAGTGTAGGTAGCTAGCGCGGGCAGTGATCATTACAGTGATTACGTCACTCGGGCGCATAGGGTATCCATGAATTTACGGACGGTGTCGGACAGAAACTTTTTAAATTTTATGAAAGAAAAAAGCAATAACATCCTGTATAACCCACGTCGATAAAGTAAAGAAACTAATATGGAGGCTTATATTTACAGTTTGGATGGTCAGCAAAAATACTCCATATTTTATTTTATTGTAAACTCATATTTTAGTCTAAATTTTTATTATGGCATTAATTAAATTAAGCCATCTTTTGAGTGACGAGTCCAGCCAGACCAGCATTATTCTGTAACTCTGGAGAGAATCATAGTTAGCTTCGTTTTAACATACTATTTTTTTATTGAATAAGGGTGACAAATTACTATAAGGTCCACCTGATGGTAAGTGGATGCTGTGACACATACATATCTATATCTATACTCAGTTAAGAATCAATATCCAGATGCATTGTTACCACTGAAGATTAAGATAGAATGCCTCCTTACTATTAAAAAGGGTCTCCAATTCTCAAACCTCACCATACGAAACAGCAGCGTTAGGCTGCTTTACGCTGGTATTCTGTAAGAGTGTGTTTTTACCTTGATTGAGCCACCTCATTCGTGCTACAACTAATTATAGCTGCAGCGTGGCTCTAACCACATAAATGTATGTCTGTCTTCTCATCAGTGATATGTTAAATAACAATAAAACTTAAACAGTTACCTGGAAGCTCGATTGCGTCTTTTGATCCATCGACGTAGTGGGTGGTGGCAGCAACGCCTGCAAATCTTCGGGAGTGACCCGAGGCGGAGGAGGAGGGGGAGGAGGAGGTCTCGGCCGCTGAACAACCGTGACGCCTTGTTGACGATACGGCGGCGGAGCTGGGAACGTATCCGCCGCGTAGTTGGGGGTGGGGAACCGCGCGCGTCCTACCACCGTGGCATTTGGTGCAGGGCTGCGGTATACCGGGGAGGGATGGTGTTGTGGACGTGGAGGGAAGGCGCGCCGGATGAAAGGTGCGGCGCGGACTGGCGCCCGGGGAGGGGGAGGGGGTGGAGGTCCAGGGCTCGGGAGGGAGGGGGGACTGGGGGGGTTGTAGGCGGCGCTGGAGTGCTCGGTGCTCGGGGGACTGAAGCGCGTCCGCCTCGATATTCGAAAGGCGCCCGTCCCACTGCTAACTCCACCTATGTGAAAGGATAGCTTAATCTTAGAGCCGTATGATGGTGGTGTTAAGAATCCATCATCTCACTTCATACTTCAACTTGGTGGTAAAAGGAGACTATGGATGTATTAGAAAAGCCTTATGAATTTCGATAGATAGCGGTAGAACTATCCCGTTTACATCTGACGTAAAATACCTACAATAGGGCCAATTTAATAGATCAACCATCAAAATTCAACAACGTAACCTTGTAACGGCGGGCATGAAATATTATTTATTTTTTCGAAGTTAGAACTGCACAATTACTTAACTTTTTTCAATTACAATTATATATTTATTGTAATAATGTCCAAAGAAAGTAATTTTACGATCTGCTTTCTACATAAGTTTCAACTATAGTCAACCAAATCTAAGAAATACATTTTGACAGTTGTCAGACTTATTGCATCAAGCATGCCAACCAAAAAATGGGAGCGTACAATATTCGATTCTTAAAAAAAATCGATATCGATTACTTAAGAGTTGGTAGTCATTTGCAGTTTGGTTTGAATAATACCAGAATAAATTAAAAACGGATAATTTATAACAAGATTTATCAGTTTCTTCGTATTTGTTGTTGTTAATTTCTAGAGGCACAATTATAAAAATTTAAGATTGAACCTAGATTAAAAATAAATTTATTCAATCACTTTCAGTACAACTAGTAGGGATGTCGTTGTTTATATTAATTATTATTTGATTTTCAATAATGCAGTGAAAATTCATGTCTCCTTCAAAGTCATCCACAATATTTTTTGTTTTTTCTCCTACTTTTGCCCAATCATCTTTTGTGGCATGGGCACGCACACGCTTCAACGAATTTTTTTATAGCATTGGGTGACAAACGAGCACACAGTCCACCTGATACAAAACCCCCACAAAAAAAACAACAACAAAACACTTGTTTCCTTGACACCACCCCCACAAAAAAAAGAAAAGAGCCCCCAAAAAAAAGATAAAAAAAAACACAAAAAAAAAAAAAAACAAACAAAAAAACCAAAAAAAAAAAAAAAAAAACTGAGAAGAACCAGCAAGAAACCCGACGGGACTAGTTTAAAAAAAAAGAGCTTACAATCATGCGTGTTACAATTAACAACACAAAACAAATTAGAAATAGCTTGGTAGCGATCACCCTTCCCAGGGGTTATTATCATCCATACATTCCTCAATATTAAAATAACCCTTTTTATACAAACTTAGTTTAATAAAGTTTTTGAACTTTGTGTACTTGTCAAATTTTGTATATTTTCTGTCATTTTGTTATAAAAGCGTATACATTGCCTCTAAAATGAATTACTGATTCTGTGGAGTCGAGTAACTGGTACCGAAATGGCGGGATATTGAAATTATGTATTGGTTATTTTAGCACGGCCTGGTATATGAGTTTTTTTCCTACAAACATTTACTTTGAAAAATTCAAAAAATAAACTTGTTTTATTCATGGTTCATGTAATTTGAGAAATTTTGAAATTAAAAATTTAATTAAGCAAATAGTACATTAAAGAAATTAATGATTCGATTATTAGAATATTTTTACCGCTAATTTGAATATTTTTCCGATTATTCGCATAACAACGAATTTTAATCACCCAAACACTACGGTAATATACATAGCGACATGTTATTGAAACGACGTCAAGTAAAAAAGTTAATACTGGTTATTTTTTAATATTTTGCTTTGTTTGAAAGATTCAAATTTAAATAAGTGATAAAAAACTATACACGTTGTAATGAAATATAGATAACTCTTCATAATTCTTCGAATTTACGTAAAAGGTTATTTTAAATCGTATGATTACGCTTGTGCAAAGTTATTGCGAAATGATTAATTTGAAACGTCAAAAGGTATTTCTTAGATTTGGTTGACTATAATAAACCATTAAAACAATAAACAATATTTGTTTTAAATAAAAAAAAGTTACAATTTTGCGTCCCTGAACCCTTTTTCTTTTTAAACACTAGGAATGTTACCCAAAAAAATCGAAAGTTGATAAGTAAAGTACGGCCAACTAGCAGCGATACGAAAGGTCATTTACCTTAAAAACGACTGTGGAGTTGACAATCTATTATCTATCTCTTTCCATCACGTGTATTTGTCGTAATGTCTCGTTTTCCCGACAAAAACATGTCAGGGTCACGGTAATAGTATTTACAGGTTCGCCAAAATTCGAGAGGCCATTTTAGTAATAATAGTGATTCATTCCGTTTCGGAACGCGCTAGTTACACAGTTATTTGTTAAAAATTTTGTTGTTTTTTGTTATATATTTAATTTTGTTTTGTTGATAATTGTTTTTTTATTAAGAGTGGCAAATGATGGAGCCACCAGATAAATTTATTATACGTGTTATAGACTAATTCTGACTCTACAGACTCAGAAGAATGGGCGTCTGACAATAAACAATGATTTCCTAAAAAAATATTTTTATTTTCATTTCCATAAACATAACATATCATCACCCTGTATCCCCTAAGGGGTAGGCAGAGATATTAACATCCACATTTTGCCTGATTTTAATTTAAATCTACATTATACAATAATTGAAATTATAACAAAATTTACAAAAACTCTATTTTTTGGTTTGCTTGACATTTTTTAAAACTATATTGTCTACTTTTTTTTAGAAGACGGGGCAAACGAGCATACGGCTCACCTGATGTTAAGTGACTACCGTCACCCATGAACAACCGCAACACCAGGGGAATTGCAAGTGCGTTGCCGGCCCTTTAGAAAGGAGTAAGCTCTTTTCTTGAAGGTCCCTAGGTCATATAGGTCCGGAAAAATCGCCGGTGTTTAACTATTTTACAGACAGGTCGTACGTGGAAGAAAACTCCTAGTGAAACATACAGTGGTGGACCGTCAAGCATCCAGATGGTGTGGATGGTATCGGGAGGTTAGCCGCGTAATGCGCTCATGAAATTTGGCGGCTGGGATTAATCCAAACAATTCCTCAGAGCACTCCCCATGGTATATGCGAAAGAAAATGCAAAGAGATGCAACATCTCTTCGCAGCGCCAGTGAATCGAGCCTATCGGAAAGCACTCGGTCGTCGATTCGAGCCGCTCTGCGCTGGATGCGATCAAATGGAAGGAGCTGGCACTGAGGAGGCCCAGCCCAGAGATGGGAACATTATTCCATGTGCCGCCGAACCTGCGCCTTGTAAAGTTGTAGGCGGTGTGCCGGCATGAAATACAACATAAAAGCTTGGCGTGCTCAGAAGAGCGGGACACTCTACTGAGCACGCCAAGCTTTTTAGAGGCTTAAATATATAATCTAACTATCAAAAAATTACGCACATTACACGCTATTCTTAATAACCTTGAATTGGTTTTATTTATATTTGGTATCGCTTCTCGTCGGCCGTACTTTAGATTCGAATGCAGCATGTATTTGTGAAGGAATATTTCACCATAAATGAATAACCACATTGTGATGATAATACATATTATTCTTTTAATTAACTTTAAAAATACAAAACTAACTAAATAGAAAAAATCATTAAAGATAGGAATTTTAGGCCAAAAGCTCGTGGGATGTTCCTCGCAACACTAGTGCCTGTCGATGACGCCATGTGATGCGAACTAGTGGTAAAATTGTACAATTATTTTGAATGTGCCTCAGTAACGGTGCGCCTCTTCTACCATTGACACAAACTAGACAACATGTTGCCGAAGCATTGGGAATAGGGAAGACGACAGTAACTCAAATTCTCAAAGAGCAATACGGACCATTAGACTCAGAAGATAATTTTTTGAGAAACTTTACTTACCGAAAAAAAGGGACAGTAAAATAGTTTAGTTGATAATTTTAATGCTGCTGCAATTTGCAACCACATTTATGGACATTGCTCGAGAAAATAATATCCTCCTACACGGAAAAACCTACTGGGTTCGTTAATAGAGGCAGGGTTATTTTTTGGCGGTTAATCATCTCTATCTATGGTTTTAAAATCGATTGGCTTTAGTTTTAAAAAATCTACCAAGCGGAAAGTCCTGCTGGAACGCTACAATATTATTTTGAAGAAAGTAACATTCTTACGTCAAGTAAATAAAATTAAAGATTGGGACAATGTCCTGTTTATTGACGAAGCATGGTTGCAAACCATACGGTTTCGCGGACATGGATTGATGATACAGCAGCATCTACCTCAAAAGTTCCACTGGGGAAAAAGAGCCTGCCTTATATCACGCGGGCTCAGCTTCTCAAGGTTTTATTCCAGACTGCCTCCTCGCATTTGCGTCTAAAACTACAAGTGATTACCATGATCATTCATTATTTGAGGTTTTTAAAGAGTGGTTTGAGAAGCTGCTAGTCAGCTTAGAAAACCCATCGATAATTATTATGGACAATATAATAACAGTATCATTCTAGTTGATAAACTACCAACTCAAGCAAATAAAAAGCAAGAAATTGTCTCGTTGTACGCTGGCTGGTAAGAAATGGTGTGGGAACTTTATTAAAAGTTAAGTTGTTAAATCTGGTAAACTCAAGTAAGCCATCCAAGCCCCGCAATGTAATCGATGAACTAACCCTAGAGCATGGAAACAAGGTTTTTAATTGCCTCCCTACCATTGCCAGTATAACAGTATCAAGCATATTTGGGCACAAATACTGACACTGAAACACCCTTCTTCAGTACTGCTAAAATGCTGACTCTGCTACAAACTACGTGTGCAGAAGTCACTACAGAAAGACTGGAGAACGATTGTGGAGCAAACAAAGGAAATAATTTTACAAGATTTTGAATGAGATGTGAATATAGGCAATATAATTGAAAATTAATTAATAATATCTTAGAGTCTCTGAGTGATGACAGCAGTGATGAACATGACAATATCAGTTAGTTAGTCAGTGATAGTTCAACAGAATAAATGCTATTTTTTGTTAAACTATGTACTTGTCTTATTTAGTTCTTTAAATTTACGATGGAAAATAATAATGTGACGGGATTCAACTGCAATTTTTTTTAAATTACAATACCTATACAGTTATTATGAAAAAGTACTTATAGATACTGTAATACCTGAAGAAGTCAAAAAAAGCAACAAACCACCCCACATTGCATAGTGTTTAGATTACCTGACTACAGATTCACAGGTTCTGGGTTTGAATTTAAGTTAACAGTTGTGCCAGAATATGCTGTAAGTTACCGGTGTGTGGAGGGCAATAACATTACACATTGTACATAAAAGGATAATCAATCAAAAAACAAGACTTTATGCCAATGGTGTTATAACAATTTTGTAATACATTATACCATTTATAAATTAACCAGACCGTGATTTGGAACTTTTCTAGGTTGCAAGACAAATTGTGATCCGCTACAATGCGGTTTCAAGACTGAAAATTTCTCTACTTTGGTAGTGGTCAACTTCCAGTGCCAGTTAATAATTGAGCTGATGAAGAAATTTGTTCACAAATCTGTATGTATTATGTTTAAACCTGTGTCACTGCATATAACATAACTCTGATATTAACACATAAGTGTTAAATTGAATGAGGGTAGATAAAAGGACAGTACCTTGACAATACCTCAGTATGTACATTCATTATACTGTAATAATTTCTGCATATTTGATAACTTCCGTAGATTCTGGAGATTACCTTTGTAACTTGGTCGGGAGAATATTAATATCATAACTACTAACCACAAGTGAGGCTTATGGTTGATTTCCCTTCTAGTCAATTTAGTAATAAGTAAATCAATTGCACAGGAGATATTATTATACTTCGAGTGTACGCATGATACACTCTTTAATTAACTATTCCTAACCTACTCATACCAAACGTAAAAATTATGAAATTAGATTAAGTGAGCCTAGGATACCAGTGTCGGAGACATGGGGAAATTTAAACCCATAACCAGTTTCATAGAAACCAAATACTTAGACCACTGGGCTTTGAGATTGTCAGGTGCAACACAATGATCATATTAAAGTTGTTCACAATCTAAGCACTTCAACATTATTTTGAAATAATCAGATTGTAAATTTTGAATTTACAGGTTTATTGGTCAGCAGTATTAATTGTTGGTTTTTCCATCAACTTATTTATAATTTATTTACACAAACATGTATTACACTTAACCAAACAATGCATCCTCTATCAGTATACCACTACACTGAAGTTAAGAAGACATAGTGCGTAAAGCGCAAAAAGTAAGTCTTTTGCACTTATGAAATTATCAGTTTATTTTTCTCGTACACCAAAATTAATCCAATATTTTTGAAAAGTAAAGTTTATATAGTCTAATAAATGGCGTTATATTTGTACCTGTGCGTCCTCCAAGCGATCCAATTTAGCCGGATGTGGGACAGGTTTTGCCCGCGGTTGCGGCGCGGGCGCATCGTTCTGCAGTAAGTTGACAAGTAGCGGCGAGGACATCGCCACAGTAGGAGCGGAAGCGGACGCTGAAGCGGGCGACTGAGCGGAGGGCACCGGGGAGGGAGCAGGGGAGGGTGAAGGCGTGGGCGAGGGCGCGGGGTAGGGCGGGGGAGGACCTGCGAACGCTGATGTGGAAGGGCGCGGGAACTGCTCCGCGCCCGCTATCGCTGTGCTTGGACGAACCCCGGGACCGCTTAAGCCTATGTAACAAAAAATACAGATTAATTAACTTGAAAGGAACACGATAACTATTACATTTAAATTTAAATTACGTCTGAACAGTGTTAATAATAAAATAGGTACATACTGATAATTTTTTTGCACGGCAACATAAGTTCGTAAATTGACCAAAATAACTTGTCTCAACCATAGAATACTATAATACACAAGAGAATGGCTGTCAACCTTATTTTGTACGAGGCGTCGCCGGGAGCACACATACAAGAAATTACGTCGTATTATCACTACTACAAACCCGATTCGCTGTGTTGACAGACATATTTTAATACATATTTATTTGTAAATAGCATGCAATTTGGCATTTTTTTTAAATAATTTGCATACGAAATATGGAAACGATTGTAACATCAAAACACATCTCGTGTTGACATTTATACATGTGAATTGACGTGTTAGTGACATTTTAGTGGCTACACAGGTTCCGCCCACTCCCCTGTTCTATTATGTATGTAATTATAGTATTCTATGGTCTCAATATACAAATTCGAGATCATATTGATATGGATTTTGGTAAAAAGGAATAAAAGCTTTAAAACATTATTGAGTCATAGTAGCAGGGTTCGATGCTTTTCCTTAAATTTCATGTAAGTTTTTTTATCACTTCATATTCTAATAAATTAAAAAAAAATCTAATAAAAATTTTTACATTTCTAGCTGTGTGAGAACAGGGAATCTTACTTTGATCTCTTATTAATTAGCACGCGTAAGTGTTCAATAAAATATTACCAAAAAAAACTAGAATTTTTTTTATAAATCAAAACATTTACATACCTAACGTATTTTCCTTCCTATGTATGACTCTTGCTTGAGTCATGCTTCCGAACGGGAACTCACAGCGATCGGTAGTTGGTGTGGGAATGTTCTGTGGTATCTTGCCGTCCATCGGACAAACGGTGTTAGGTGATTTGAAGTTATCTCTAGGAGTGGAAGTTGAGGAAGCTGGAGTGTCCGTTGAAGTAGAGGAACTCTCACTCTCTCCCAACAATCGCCCTATGCCCCCCAATCCTGCCAGCAACTCGGAGTTTGCTTGCCTTGATGAATTGCCATCTGCAGTTAGAAAAGTAAATTTTAGATAACTATTGATAGAAAAACGTGTAGGAAATTAAGATGATAGGAGATGATTTAGTATATAAAGAGAAAGAAGGAAAACTAAATCCTCTATTATATGTATGTATGTCTATGATCTTAGTAAATCCAAAAGTAGTCGTCGTATTTTGGTATATGATATCTAAATCAATTTGAAATCGACAGAACTGCTCGGGTTACATAGAATATATTATGACGTCATAATAAAGAAAATATGGCGAACACGAATAATCAAAAATTTACAGTATAATTTTTTTTATCACAAACAAATTTAGATAGTGCATATATTTAATATATCTTAAAAATGCACATTTTTTATAAACATCCATTAGAATGTCTTAGCAGTAAAACCGATTCGTATGCCGTGACGGCAAATGGCATGGCGCTCTCTTATGCCGTCATGCCCACTCTAAGATACTGTGTGTGTATACACTTTGTTGCTTCTCTGCGTAATTTGTGCACGGCGTGTGAGTTTCTACTTTTTCTTTCCGCCATATTTCTTTATTGGTTTCATCCATTGCAAATTCTAGCATCAACTATGATGTTTCACATCTGCCGGGCGTCCCGTGACGGCCAACTGGTTTTTATTGTATTCTAGTTTTATCAAATATATCCCCGTTTTTACTTTCAAACGTTAAAACGCCGACATGGACATATTACTTAAAATAGAAAATCATCCACCTAGTAGGAAGGGGAAGTGGGGAATAATGTGTACGCGCACTGACCAACCGTGGTGTCCGTGCCGCAGAAAAAATAACAAACGCATGTATCATCATTATCATTACAGCCCCATAAGTCTACTGCTGAACATAGGCCTCCCCAAGTAATGCCACAAAGCAAGGTCCTGAGCCACCTGCATTCATTCAACTTCCTGTCGTCACTGCATCTAGTGGATCGGTATTCCAGATCGATATTCCATCTAGTAGGGGGTCGCCCTACACTTTGCCTGCTGGTACGAGGCTACCACACGAGAATCTTTATTTCTCATCCGATGTCGATTCTTTGAGCTATATGGCCGGCTTATTGCCACTACAGTTTACTAATCTGTTGGGCTATGACTGTCACTCTGGTTCTAATGCGGATATCCTCATTTCTGAATTTATAATGGAGAGCAACTCCTAGCATAGACCTTTCCATAGCTTGCTGAGCGACCTTGAGCTTCCTCATACGGTCAGCAGTGAAGTACCATGTCTAGATCCATAAGTCATCACTCGCAACACGCACTGGTTCCACAATCTTGTTTTCAGGTTTTGAGGTGTTTCTGACGAGAAGCTGTGTCGCAATTTCCGCAACGTTGCCCAGCCGAGTTGAATCCATCGATTGACCTCTTAGTTGAAGTTGAACTTATCTAGTCGGACTATTTATCCCAGGTAAACATACTCATCAAAAACTTCGAGCTTGGTACTCGGAATAACTACTGGCATAGGTGTAACATTGACGTGGCACATAATCTTTGTTTTGTCCACGTTCATCTTAAGATCTATCCGTTGGAAGGCACTATTAAGGTGTTGAGTATAGTGCTTTGGTCTCTCAGCGATTCTGTCATAAGGACTATATCGTCACCAAATCGAAGGTGAGTGATACACTCGCCATTGATGTTAATACCGTATCCTTTAGATCCAGTAGCTGGAAAACGTCTTCCAATGCAGCAGTGAAGTTTCGGGGATATAACGTCACCCTGTCTTACACCTCAGTTGGATAGGTTTTGTACTCGGTTAGTACACAGTTGATTTGAATTAAAAAGGAAACCTTTGGTGAAGCGAACATAAAGCCTGGCTGCTATCGCAAAGCTGGTGCATAAAGCGGGGGCGGGCGGTTAAACATGACAAATTTAGGGGCGAAAATATTTAGATACACGGATTCGAATTACGGGAAAAATCTTTTATTTATATTGAAGTAAAGAGGAAAAGTATTGCCAGACAGATTGCTAGGGGCTTACAGTGCCGCCAGAGCGCGCCAATGGTGTGTTAATTAAAGAATCACAAGGTACATACATTAATTTAAATTATTTTATTTTAATATTTAAACATAGAAAACAATTTACCAAATGGCAGACAGAGAAGTGGGAGCTAAAGTTCTCGGTCTAATAGTGCAGTGCATGCATAAAATATGACAAACATATTCCGCTTTTTAACTTTCAAGTTATTTTAATTTAATTTAGTTTAAGTAATTTTAATTAAAACGGTGACATGTACATATTAGGTATGGAATTGAGACTGACCGTCCGCGGCGTCGGTGCTGATGGTGAGCTCGGCGCCGTGCTGGAGGCGCAGCGAGACGGCCGCATCGCCGTCCAGCTGCACGGACAGGATACCGAGCGCGCGCAGCTGCGGAGCGCCTGCCGCCGCCAGCGCGCGCAGCCGCGCCGCCGCCGCGCGCGGCACCGACAGCGTCACGCGCACCGAGTTCCACGGCTCCACCTGCAACCACCGCCACCGCTCTTCACCGTCTGCCCACTTTCTCTTCATCACTCATTATATCCTATCCTATCAAAGTCCTGAACATAGGCATGGTGGCAACCTCATAACATAAACAGGGGATGGATATTTCCCATAATCGCACACTTGGGAGACAGGCTGGCAAATACAGGTTTTTAATCATTTTTCACTGTTATCAAGGCGACGCTGCTGCCAATTTTCTATTTCATTTCCCTCTGTCATGGGTAGTCACTCTTACACTACGACTGCACTTCTCTACATCAATAGCCAGTAAACTGACTTCTGCTAGATACTGACTACATGAGGAACATCACAATACTCGGAGCACAGCATAAACAAAATTTAATACCCAAAGTAAACTATTGATAGGCCAACATCACCACTTATAACATATTTGTCCATTAAAAAGGCAGAATCAGAATCAGAATATTTTTATTGCCAATAAACTGTGTATGTACAATTTGCGGGTGACATTGCAATTAAATGTTACATGGTTTACCCATATCCGGTATGCAATAATTAAGAAACAAAACTTAATTTAAATTATTTGGTATTAAAATATTCATTTAAATTATAAAAAACATTATGTATTAACCATTTTTAGTTGTATTTTAAATTTTGGCAAGTCCATGGCTTTTATATGAGGTGGCAGATGATTGAATATTTTAATACCTGTGAAAAAGGTGCTCTTATAATACATATAATTATTAATTTTAGGTGTACATAAATTATGCTTATATTTAGTGCTTATTGGACGTGAATTTCCGTTAGATTTAATCTGAAAATAGTTGCCATTCTGTTTGATAAAAAGTGATATTTCTAAAATATAAATATTAGTGAGAGTGAAAATGCCTTTTTCTTTGAATACATATCTTAGAGTTTCATCTGAGTACATATTATAAATGATCTGCAGACATCGCTTTTACAGAATAAATGTTGACTGCACGTTTGTAGAATTACCCCAGAAAATAATACCGTAAACTAATAGAGGGTATACCTGGCCGAAATATGCAGCCCTTGATACATCAACGGAGGTTGTTTCTGCTAATATGGATAATGCGTAACTGTAGCTAGAGATTTTTTTGTTTATTTTTTCAATATGAGATTTCCAATTTAAATGACAGTCTATGGTGACTCCAAGAAATTTTATGTTATTAACTATTTCTATTTGGGTTTCTTGATATCGTGGTGTTAGAATTTGTTTTGTAATTTCTGAATTGAATTATTTAAGTTTTGTTTAGATTAACGTTTAAATTAATTTGTTTAAGCCATTCAACTGTTATTTTATTCAAGTTTTATTTATATTATTTTCAAAATTCATTTGAGTATCAGATATAAAGATAGTTGCATCATCAGCGAACTTAACACATCTATTGTCAGTGATATTTTGCAAGTCATTCACGTAAATTAAGAATAACAAAGGGCCCAAAATAATTCCTTGTGGCAAGCCTATTGTCATTTTAACTGACTTGGGCCGTACTTCTTCAAAAGTTTTACTGACTTTGTCAAATTTTTCAATTGCTGTTATTTGCAAAATTTAAATAGCATAAATTTGTCAAGTTTATTTAATAGTATATCATATATGACACAATCAAATGCCCTTGACATATCTAAAAACAAACCTACACAAGAAGTTTTATTATTTAATGATTCCCAAATTTCCTTGAGTATTTCATAGATTGCAAGTGTAGTGGATTTATTTTTCTGAAAACCAAATTGATTTTTACTTATGGAAAAACTATAAGTCTATTGTAGATGACTCTTTCAAATATTTTCAAAAAGTTAGATAAAAGAGCTTTGTCTTAGTCTTTGATTAAATTACATTTTGAACCTTTTTTGAACAAGGGTTTTATTTTTGCTGTTTTTAATTCATCTGGAAAGGTACTAGTTTCTATCATTAAGTTCAATAAATAAACAAGGGGCTCATTAATATACTCTATAGGTTTTTTAATAATTTTGATCGATATGTCGTCGTGGCCGCAACTTTTTTAATTTTAGGGTTCATTATTGTTTTTTCCAATTCGTTTGCATCAACGGGTGATAAATATAAGCTATTTATATGTGTAGAGGTAGATAGTAGGTATCTGTAGCTTGTGTTTGAGCGTTGATGGTAGCAAAATGAGTGTTAAATACTTCAGCTATAGAACTTGCATCCGTGATATTATTATTATCAATAGTCACATTTTTATTAAGTGCCATGTAGCTTTATTTTTGTTGTTACTATTTTTAATGAATTTTATATTTGATTTTTGTTTTGCTAAATGTGTAACGGATTTTAAAATTTTGCAGTATTTCTTATAATACGGTATTAATTCCTGTTTCTTATATTTAAATATTTTCTGATCTAACTTTCTTTTAGTTTTGCATGCTCTTTTAGTGCTAACTGTCTGCCAATTTGATTTTTTCTTGAATGAGATTCTAACCTTTTCTACGGGTATACAAAGATCGTATATTAATTTGAATAAGCTAATGAAACTATTATACGCCTGATTTACATCACAATTTTAATCTCATTTTAATTTCAAATTTACATCAAAACAGAAAAAATTGAGAGAGATATTTTAAAAAAGATATTTAAATACTTATTTTCATTTCTTCTATGTACATACCAATATTTTTCCATATAACCTTGATTACATGGTACGTTTATGTATTGTGCAGAGTGATCGGGTAAGCCTTAGTGTAAAACTTTTCAGCTGTAATCTTTTATATTTGTTATAATATTGTCTATGCAAGTTTTCGATTTTGTTGGTTGGTAGGCTTTCTAATCATCATCATCATCATCATCATTACAGCCCATGATAATTCCATTGGTAAACCAAGTTCAAAACCTTATGCCTCCCCCATTGAGTACCACAAAACATGTTCGCTATTTTCAACAGTTCATCTCTGCACCCGATGGAGATTATTCTTATAGAATATTGTATTTAGACAATGTTTTAATTTCCAAGTTTATTTAGATAGGTGTTATCCCTGAGAAAATCAAATTAAAAGAATTAATAAGCAATGTTTACTAATAAGAAAAGATTTTGAAAAATTTATAAAACCTGGGCTCTATGCAAGCAAACTACTGGTTATTGGACTTTAATTTGATGATGCTGACAGCAAACTAGACTAATTTTAACTATCATGACCATAATCATCCAAGAGGCAATTCTCAGCATCAAATAAAAAACATGACCAAAAAAAAGGGGTACGAATCTCACCTTGTTAACTTTGAGCGTGTGCGGATGCGGCTCGGCGAGCAGCGCGCGCAACTCGCGCAGAAGGCGGCGAAGGCGCGCGGGGAATCGCGGGTCGCGCAGGTCGCCTTCGCAGGTCATCACCACCCCGCACGAGCCGCCGCCCCCGCCCGCCGAGCCTAGCCCATCGCTGTCCGCTGCCATGCTGTACAACAAAAAAAGCTATTAATACTTCAGCTAGTGTAATATTTATTAATTACTTTAAAACAACCACATGGGCTAGTAGAGTACCTGAAATGTGACGCCAACATTAGCACAAAAACAAATTGTTGGTTTTCTAATTTGGTTTTAGGTATATCTCCATATCTGCATTCTAATCCACCTCCAATCTCGTTGCATAGCAGTTGATAGTCTCCAACAGCAATTGGAACGCACCATGGTCAAAATTAGCCACATTGGCCACAATGCTGATTTAGTGATGATGAGGCTGCAGGGAAAAGAGTGTCGATATTATAGTGCGCTGCCCTCCCTACCTTCCTGGCTATGACTTAAACCTAGTTCATTGCAGAGACACAGACTAGATCCGCCACCGCTCTATAGTGTAGCAATTTGGCGCGTCTTGCTAGGAGGAATTGGAAGAACTGTCCTGTCATATGGAGACAAACGTGGACCACTTCATACACTATTACTGCAAATTTTGATAAAATAGAGGGCCTTTCTCTCTCTATGCAATAATTAACGTTTATCTGACATGAGTCCAATTAGATTTAAAGAAAAATAAATTTCAAATATGTCAGGCAATTACTTTGTGATTGTTGGTATTAGCAATGTTATATTTAAAAAATAGCAATCCTGCTAATATAACATTTTACCACTCCAACTAAACTGAAAATGCTTAGGCCAGTTTAGTGTTTACAACAGAAATATCTAAAATAATGTATAAATTAATGTGAAGAGAAACTTTGTATCCCCTTTTAAGCATATTGCACTCACGAAGGAGAGTGAGATTTGGCATAGTTCAAGTTCATGTGGAGAAGTGCAGAAAGATAAATATATCCTATACCTTTAAATGAGCAATTCTTGTATATATTTATTTATTTATGCTTTTATGCACAAAGTAGTACATATGGCAGACTTAATGCCATAGGGCATTCTCTCCCAGTCAACCATTAGGCTAAACAGAGAAAGACATTTTGGAGGTGGTGCAGCAATAATTAAATAGAGAGGATAAAAAAAATATAAACAATACATATCAATATATATATATATCGATATGTATTTCATCAGAGTCTGATGGCCGTGAGGGCAAAAGAGTGAGATAAATAACCAGTATGGTGTATAGGAATGAGCAACTTAAGATTGGCCGAGGAACGGAGAGAAAAATTGCGAGAATCTCCCAGGTATTGAAATTTAGATTTCAGATACTCGGGAGCACATGGATCGTTCAAAATTGTGAAAAGGGTGCAGAGTATTCTAACATATCTGCTCTGACGGATTGACAGCCAGTTTAGCTGTGTACGAAAGGATGATACATGGTCGTATTTATGAAGAGCATAAATGTATCTGATGCAGTTGTTAAGCAAACGATCCAAATTAAGATGAAGTTGAGACAGGTCTGAGCAACACACATTGACATAATCAATAATCGGTACAATAAGTGATTGGACAAGTAAAATTTTGGTATTGGTGGGAAGAAAGTTTTTAAATTGATATAGAGATCGCAAAGTTCCAGTAGTTTTGCGACTCACCTCCTGTATATGTTTGTTCCATGTTAAGCAACCATCGATATACAATCCAAGGTTCTTTACATTAGTAGAGAAAGGTATGACATTATTATTAAACATAATTGATGTATTTAATAATAATCTTGAGCTACCTAAATTCTGGGTTTACATTTATGCCATACACAGTAGACCATTCTGAGATATATTTCAAATCATCATTTAATTCTGAGATAGCACTAACGATATTTGAAGGTTCCACTTGCGCATATAACTGCAGATCATCAGCATACAGATGGTAAGAGCTCTTGAGATTTAGTGTGATGAGATTTATAAAAATGGAAAACAGAAGAGAGATATTACCGCCTTAGGGACGCCAGTACGCACAGCCTGTTGGCGCCCTCGAAGATATGTTGAGAACCATTCCTGAGCTGAAGACGAGACATTCAAATGAGAAAGAAGAGCTAACAAGATACCATGATCGACAGAATTAAATGCATTAGAAAAATCAATTAAGATGAGAACGGTCAGTTTTGATTTTTCCATCCCCTCATGAATATCTTCCGTAACCTTGAGAAGGGCAGTAGTTGTAGAATGACCCGGGTGGAAACCAGACTGATAAGGGGAAAAAATATTCTTTGAGAAAACAAAAGAAGAAATCTGTTTATAAGCAACAGCTTCCAGAACCTTAGAAAGAATGGGCAGGATAGAAACTGGTCTGAAATTAGATAAAGCGCTGCATTCAGTAGATTTCGGAATGGGAATAATAAAGGCTTTACGCCAGAGAGTTGGAAAAGCACCATTCGTCAGCGAAAAGTTAATTATATGAGTTATCACGGGTAAAACAGAATCCAGCATGTGCAAGACCATTACACTACTCACATCATCACATCCAACGGCTTTCGATTTAATAGAGGAAAGTGTTTTGCGTACCTTGTCTTCGTCTACAGGAGTAAAAGTGAAAGTTTCATGAGAATAAGGAGGCATGGAAGATATAAAAGAGATAGCATTCGCTCTAGAATTATCAGAAACTATTTGAGAAGACAGAAAGTGACGATTAAAATCGTTAGTAGAAAAGGTGTTATAAAAAGGCTATTATAGTTAAATTGCGATTTTCCATATCCAAGCGTATTCAGAAACTTCCATATATCAGCCGAAGATGAATTAAGTAGTTGTTCGTGAATATAACGGCGTTTAGCAGCTCTCACCATCTGATTTCTTGCAGCTTTATATGCTTGCAACTTTACATCAGTGCAATTCTTCTTGAAAGCACGGAAAGTTCTATCGCGTTTAGCCATAGCCATTCTTACCCCTATTCGTGATCCATGGAACAGGAGGACGCTTCAGTCGAACAACACGTTTAAGAGCATATTCGTTATAGTTGTTTGCTGTTAAAGAATTCGACTTTTTCATCAACCGTGGAAGCAGTATATACAGATGACCAGTTAATAGCATCCGCATCGCATTTAAGCTTGTCCATATCTATTCGAGCAAGACTACGAATAGAGATGGACACAGATAAAGGCTTGGGAGACTTTAATTTATATGACAGATAAAGCAGCTCATGCCGTGAAAATCCAGAAGCAGGGAATTGTCTATAATTGACAATGTGATCAACGGAGGAGACGGCTATAAGGTCGATCCAGGTGTCAGCAGAGTGGAAGTTGTGATGTGTTGCATTTAGAGGCAAAATAGTAAAATTGTGCGACAACATGGTTGACCTCAGTTTGGAAGATTTAAGAGAAACCCCGGATAGGTCAGTGTTAAAGTCCCCCATGATAATGTGATGTGAGTAGGCAGAACTGTAAGGCGATAAATTTACTTCCAAATCGTAGAAGTAGTCCACCAAGTATAGGTGGACAGTAGACAACTCCAAGAAACACTTTAACACTCTTGACATTAACTTCAACAAAAATGTATTCTATTGAACGAGAATATAGGGAAGAAGATGTGTTTAATATTTTATAAGGTAAATTACTACGCAGATAGATAGCGACACCTCCGCGTCTTTTACCAGTGCGGTCGTTACGGAGTAAAATATAACCTGGAAGACTATAAGATGTGGAAGAGAGTTCTGGCTTGAGCTAGCTTTCAGATATGAGTATAGCATGAACTGCATTAGAAGAGAAAGTATCCAGGAGCTCCGTATGATGTTGAGGAATACTTTGTGCATTTAAATGGCAAATGTGAAAATAGTAGAGAAAACAATTTAAATTAATAAATATTAGTATATATATATATATAATCGAAATCTCTGAAACGACTCCAACGATATTCATAAAATTTTGTGTCCAGGGAGTTTCGGGGGCAATAAATCGATCTAGCTAGGACTTATTTTTAGAAAATGTCTTTTTGTCCGTGTTTTCAGACAATGAAAAACTGCTACAATATAAGAAGGTAAATTTTGACACTGTTAATGATTGTAATAGCTCAAGTGGATATCGAGCGGTCGCGAAACCGTAATGCCTCGGTTCGCGTCCTGTCTTCGGTCCGACTTTTTTCCTTTTTTTTAAAGTTCCCTTTGTTGTTCTTTTAACATTAGTCTGTGGAGTTATATGTCAAGGCAAAAAAGTGTTTATTTATATTTCATATACAAGATATCCAAGTTTTATATATTAATGTGCAGTTGAAGGCATAGATAATACAAATAATATATACTGAGAGTTGAAAATGAAATACATACATACTTACAATAAGCTACACCACTAAATACACAAACATAAAAATTTTATAAACTATGGTTGAATTTTGGTCACTGGATGAGACCACTAGTTTAATATTTAATTTACTATATTTCTAATGTATCAACTTCTTTATAGTAACATAACTTTATAATGTAGATAAAATATAACTAAAAAAACTACAAGCAAAAATATTTGAAAAATACATACTTTTATTTTTAATATAGTATATACACATAATAAATATCTCATCAATATTTTGTGCAGATAAAAGTTAATCTGAGGTGCTTTTAGTTTCATAATTAAATTATACTGTAAGAATTATTATACTCTGCATTCCTTCCAGGGACATTTTCCACAAGCATCATGGAATTCTTTCAACTTTGTGTCACATTATGGATTAGTCTCTCCTAATTACAGGGATGTTATTTTTAGTATAGATATTACATAATATTCTTGTCAAATTATTCATACTGTGCAAGGTACCATATTATGATGTAATAGACAAACATCTATTTCACATTAATCATTACGACATATCAAAATTCTGCTGTAAAAACAGGCTTCCCCATACCTTGCTTCAAGGCTATAACTTTGGTATATATTATACATACTATGGGAGTTCAATGCATTTTCCAGCAAAGCTAGACTCTAAAAATGCTTTTTAAAATACTCTGTCAATTAGTAATCAAAGCAAAATCTATTTTTTGAACGAAAATATGGTATGGTATAGTATCAACAAAACTCAATGTAGTTACATATTCATAATTAGTGATCAGTATATGTGCCACATGGTGACGACA